TTGGGAGGGCTAAAAACAAGACAATTCCCCAGTGCTACGTAATGTCGGTATTATAAGACCCCACCCCCCCACCCCCCTCTACCTACCCACCCTACACACCCCTCTGGGGTTCTATATGTGAACAGTTGCTCAATCGTGTGCATCCATCATTCTTCCTCTTTCAAACAACTCTCCGCACACTCCGCAATTCTGACTACAAGCGTAGACCATGTGTTGACCAATCGCTTGCGCGCTGGCACATCGCCCCCGGTCCTACCCAACCAAAATGCCGCGTTTTGTGGTGCCCGTACAACTTGCAATGCCACGGTTGAGTTGCCATTGCTGGCCGGCTGCGGTTCGCAACAACATTAATGGTTCGCCAACGATTACGCCCTCATGCCACCCGTCTCTATCGAACACGCAAGCCAAGCCCATGGTAGCTGAAGCAGGACAGACGTACTCTGCGTCCGAGGTGGCCCAACATGGTACTATGGATGACTTTTGGGTACGCTCACACTCGCACATACCCAACCACACCTACCTCGCCCGTGCCCCCGTTCCCCCCCCCCCCCCCCTCTTTCCCTACACGTGGGAAAACCAATGCCACCTGGGATCCCCGCCATCCCCCCCCCCCCGCGCCTTCTCGCCTTATCTTCTACCTCCTTGATACACAAACTGGTTCTCACAATCATCCGCAAACTTTGCTTGTGTGCTTGAAAACGCTCTGCTCTACCTTGGTGTCTCATTTTCTCGGTCTCATTCGGCTTGCTTCGCCCGCTATCGCTATCCTCGCGGGTGTGGGTGGCTCGACTGGCACGGCGCGCCGGCTTGCGGCTGACGACGGCTGGCAACCGCTCAACGTGTTCTCCTGCTCCGGTCCGCAACGTTTGCTTGGGCAACACGTCGGTAATCGAATGATTTTTTTTTTTCTCTTCATGGCTGGCTGGCTTGCCTTTATGTTACTCGTGGCGGGCGGACTGTGCACCTGCACAACAACGACGGACTGCAGATCATCATCCACGATGAGGTGTACGACATTACGTCGTTTGTGAGCAAGCACCCGGGCGGGCCGGTCATCGAGCCGTACGCCGGACTTGACGCGACGGACGTCTTTGATGCCATGCACCCCGAGTGGGTGACCAAATGGCTGCCGCCGTACCGCATCGGCTCGCTGAACAAGCCCAACGCAACGCCGTTCCAGGCCGAGTACCGCGCGCTGCGGGCTGACTTTGTCAAGGAGGGCCTCTACGAGTCGCGCAAGACGTTCTACGCCACTATGGCGTCGATCTCGCTCGCGCTCGTGGCCACCGGCATTGTGTGCATCGGCGTTATGCCCAACACCTGGTGCTGGAACGCGATTGGCTGCGTTGCGCTGGCGTTCTTCTGGCAGCAGAACGGGTGGATCTCGCACGACTACCTGCACTACTCGGTCTTTGACTCGCGTCTCTCGAACTGGGTCCTCCCCTGGATTCTCGGCGCCGTCGGCTCGGGTTACACATACATCTGGTGGTCGCGCAAGCACAACACCCACCACGCCGTGCCCAACATTGTTGACGGTGATCCGGACATCGACACGATGCCCATTCTCGCCTGGTCCGAGCGCAACATCCAGCGCGTTGGCCCGCTCGGTGCCTTTGCTCGCTTCTGGGTCCGCAATCAGGCTTGGTTCTTCATGCCGCTCCTCGCCTTTGCCCGCATCTCGTGGACCATCCAGTCGGGCATGACCGTGTTTGAGGACGCCGAGCAGTACGCTGTCTGGCGCCGCTCCAACAAGTCGCTCACCGCCTGGCGCTACATCGAGTCGTTTGGCCAGATCCTGTACTGGACCTGGACCTTTGCCCTCTTCTTTGTCTCTCAGGACTCGCTCGTCCACGCCGTCGGCCTCTGGCTCGCCGCTCAGCTCCTCTCGGGCCTCCTCCTCGCCTCGCCGTTTGTGGTCAACCACTCGGGCATGGAGGTCTTCCACGAGGGCTCGGCCCGGTACGTCAACTTTTTCGAGCTTCAGGCCCGGACCGGCCGCAACATCGACCCGTCACTCTTCATGAACTGGTTCACCGGCGGCCTCAACTTCCAGATCGAGCACCACCTGTACCCGCGCATGCCGCGCCACTCGTACCCGCTCATCAAGCCGCGCGTCGAGGCCCTCTGCGCCAAGCACAACATCCCCTACCACTCGGTCGGCTTCTTCACTGGCCTCGCAGAGGTCGTCCAGCACCTGGCAAAGACTGGCGCGTCCGTTGACCGCGTCGTTGCCGACGACAAGTCCCTCTAGCCGGCTCTGGCACGACGTCACACACACACGCACACATACACACCCTCCTGCTGCCATTCGAATGAACATGCGCTCTATCTTTCCCTTCTCCGCCCAGCTGAGCAAGGCGACCGGCCTTTTGGCGCTCGGTATTACGCCTTGCCCTGCGCTCTTGCAGCCTCCCACAGCGCAACGGCGGCGTCGTCAAACCTCGCGCCAGCCTCGCCGCCGCTGCTAGCTCGCCGCCACCCACGGCGGCAAGAAGGCTCGACCGACGAAAACACGCCGTCTGCCGCCTGCCGTCTACCGCCTGCCGCTGTCTCCAGCCCGATGGTAGCCATCCACTCGTCGGCGTCGTCGGCGACCACACCAAGCACCCGCGCCGACGAGCCGCGGAACTCGACCCGTGCCGCGTATCGCCCGCAGCTGCGATCGGGGAGAGCGTGGACAGCGAGCGCAAGCACGTCGCCAAACCACGTTGCCGCCACTGCCATGGCCTGGAACGCCCCATCGGTCGGCGTCACCGCAAACGAGACCAGCGTCAGGCGCGACGTGTCCAGCGCCTCGCGCACATCTTCGGGCCGCGCGCCCTCACTTGTCCGTGCCGTGAGCGCCATCGATGCTGTTAGCCCTGCCCACACCTCGTGGTACGCCGCCGGCGTCCATCCACGCCCACCGTCCACGCCCACCACTGGACAGAGGAAAGTCGAGAGGAGGACAGGGTACGGCGTGCAGTGAACCCGGAGCGACCGCCGCTCCAGCCCGTGATGCAGCGAGGTCCGTTCCAGCGCCCGCGCCGTTCCGCGCTCGCTCGGCCGCACCGCATCCGGAAAGAACTGCAAGTGGACGTCAATCGAGTTGCCAGCAAAGCCGGTGACCGTCAGCGGGAGCTCGAGCTCAAACGTCGCGCCGGGCGCCACGTCCTCGAACGTCCGCACGAACGCCTCGTTGCCGACGTCAGCGTGCGCAAGCTGCCCTCCGATGCCAAGTCGGACTTGAAGGTGGGAAATGAGCAGCTGAGTCCGGTTCGAGCCGCGGAGGCGGAACACAATCCGCGATCGCCCCGGTCGGCCGAGTGCTGCGCTGTCACCTCGAACGGGTCCGACGGCGCAGAGATGACCCGGACCACGGACAGCGCGCCTAGGTCGCTGCCCGCAGCTCCAACAGCTACCGCCACGTTGCCGTCAAAGGCCGCGTGCCCGCCGCTGGACCCGCCAGTAGCAGGAAACGCCGCCGCCGGGTTGTGCACAGGGTGCATCTTGTCAGGCAGCGCGGCAGCCAGATGATCGAGCATGGCCAGATGCGTCTTGGCCACATCGCGTGCTACAGGCCGCTTGCTTGATCCACGCTGCAGCGAGACGAGCGTACCGCGGACGAGTGGGGTCACCAACGGCAGCCGCACGGCAAGGATGAGCAGCGCCTCGAGGAGGATCGATGACGGCGGTGGCCGACCAGCCGTCCCCTCGCTGCTGTGGCTGCCGCCGCTCGCGCCGAGCATGCCTGCGCTTGCCTCGGCGCCCGCCAGCGCTGTCGCCAGTGCCAGTCGCGGCGCGTCGTGGAGCCGGTACGCAATGCCCATGACCAGTCGCTTGGCTCGGTCCAGTTGCGAGTCGTTGAGCGAGACAAACTGGGCCAGAGTGGCCAGGGCCGAGGACTGCACTTGCGGCGGGAGCGCATCCACTTGCGCCAGCACCTCGTCGAGCACCCGCTGGAGCTTAGCCTTGAGCCGAGCGTGCGCCGGATTGCCGCGGTTCTCACTCGCTGGCAGGCCATGGACCCGGCAGGTTACTTCGAGTAGGTCGAGGTATGCCTTGGCCGCCAGCCACCGTGCCTGGGTTGCCCAAGTCAGCACCCGCACGTTCGAGTGTAGCAACTCGACTGCAACAACCAGCCACACGCCAAGCAGCGCGTGGTTGCTTTCGTCAAGCGCCGCCGCGAGCTTGATGAGCGGAACAGCGGCCTGGCGCAAAAGCGCGGCGGCAAGCTCCTCACGAAAGAGCGACGGCTGCGAGGCGGTCCACAGTGATGCCAGCCACGGATCGGCAAACAACTCCTGAAGCTGGGTCACTTGCAGCGCGGCGAGGGAGTGGCTTCCGCTCCCAGTCCCACCCGGCGTGGCTGCGGCCTTGAGCTTGGACGCTGCCGTCTGCTCGAGGACCGAGGCAAAGACAAGCGATGCGGCACGCAGGCGGTCGCCCGCGCAGCCTAGCGCTTGCACTGCCTTGAGGATCTTGATCATTACCCGCAGCAAGTACCGCGAGTCAACTACGTGCACAAGCGAGACAATGTCGGCGAGGAGGCGCGGAAATGCCGCCGTGGCCGAGCCGACCAGCAGCACGTCGAGCCAGGCCAGCACAACCTGGAGCGTCCACAGCGCCTGCATCTCCACACCCTGGGCGAGGGCCACCACCCGCGTCCCGACCTCGTACACCAGTGCCACATCGCCGCACTTGAGCAGCGGCAGAAGGTGCGTCTCCACAAGCTCGTAAACTAGCACCGCCTGAGAGTCCATGTGTTCTGCCCCGACAGCCACCGCCTCGTCGGCTGCAAGCAGGCGCGCCGCGTGCTGCGCGGCAAAGGCCAGTGCGACAACCGCCGACGTCCGTGGGCCAAACTTGAGGTGTGAGAACCGCTGCAGCGCCAGCTCGTACCGTCGCAGTAGCACCAGCGCCACCTTGCTGGCCGCGTTCGACATCGGCGCGGTGGTGATGAGCTGTGCCAGCGCGGCAAACGCCCGCGCCGCCACCTTGTCGTCAGTGTCAAAAACCCGCTCGGCGATGCTCGTCCAGATCTCACTCTGCATCTCAGCATCGACTGTCACCAGCGCCGCCGCCGCAAGACTGTCCACTGCGGCGGCGCGGACGAGCAGTGAGGGATGCACCAGCGCAGCCAGTGCCCGGGCGAGGTGGCGGTCCAGCAGGTCAGCCACCACCGCCTGCGGTAGCCGTGGCAGCGCCCGCAGCGCCAGCACGGTGTGCATCGGCGACGCAGTGTCGACGTCCAGCGCGCAGGCCACTACACTCGCCAAGTCGTCCCATCGCGCATCGGGCACGCCGCAAAGGTAAAGAGGACCTCCCAAGCCAAGCGAACAACCATCAGCGATTCGGCCTCAGGCATGTCTGGTGGCGGGGCGCCCGCAGGCCCGTCACCTGGTCCAGACAAGCCACGTTGCGGCGACGCTCGACGCAGAGCAGCAGCAATTGCCAGCGGCGAGCCGCCAGATGCGCCCCCGACCGCGCCGCCACTCGCCGAGCCGTTTGCCATTGCCGTTGCGACGGCAGCTGCCGCCTGAGCTTCGGACATTGACGACGATCGATGGGAATGACGACGACTTGGAGATGAAGCAGGAGACGGCGAGGTGATTGCCGAGCTGGGAGGTGCCAGGCCAAGAATGGCCTCTGGATGAGGCAGGAGCGACGGCGCACGATGATCTGCAGGAAACGGGTTTGGAGACATAAACGATGTTGATGGTTGCTGTGATGATAGTGATGCAGATGGTGATGATAATGACGTTGTTGATGATGCTGATGATGATGGAGGTGCCACCAGAGGCAGGACGACGTCGAGGTAGCCCGTGGGGAGACCGGCACCTTGGGAGACCTGTTCGAGGAGCTGAGAGAGTGCTAAAGTCTGTCGACTGGTCGAGTGCGAGAGCAAGGCTTCCAGTACGGCGCCTGCTAAGTTCTCCATGTCTCTTGTCCACGCCCTGCTTCCACCGTTGCCACACCGAGTCGCACGTCGTGTGGTGTCGTCCCTTTGCCCGGCCTGTCGCCTGCCGACCGACCGACCGCCCGACCGACCGACCGCCCGACCAACCGGCCGACTATTTGGCTGCCGCGCCAACGAACGTGCTAACAATCGATGGTGAACGATTAATCTCGACCCCCCCCCCCCCCCTCCCCTCCCCCTCGATTAGCCAGGCTTCGATTAAACGTGACAACCGACCACACTCGTCGCCGATGGAGCTGGCCGGCGTCTCCCTGGAGGAGGTCCGGGAACGGGTAGCAGACATCCGGCAGCATGTCTCCCGTACTAGGACCTTTGTCCGCAAATGCACACTCTACACACAGTTCGCAAGCAAGGTAAGCTTCTCTTCCATGCCCATAGCCCCTCTCTTCCTCCCTTTGCTCCGCACCCGCTGGCACCAAACCGAGCGCCAAACGGCCGCCGCTGCCAACGGCCAGCCAACGAAGCAACACGACGGGGAGAAGGGGGGGGGGGGGATAGGGCAACTATTTTACAATCACCACCATCCACACCCCCCACATCCCCCACAAGCCCCCCCCCCCCACACACACACACACACAACATACTCACGTCACGCGGACATGGTATGGATGGGATCGGGGTGGAGGCAGTTCTTTGCGGCCAACGCAGGTATCGACCCGCTGACGGTGGGCGCCGTCCTCGAGTCTGCGGTCAACGATCTCGAGTCGGAGTGGAACGCCTTTTTGGGAGCGCATGAGGTGGAACTTGTGCGGGCGCATGGCCTTGTGGCGCAGTTGCTTCCGCTTCGGCTGGTTCGGATGGTGGACATGCCATCAAAGTCGGCTGCGAGGCTGTTGCTGGCGTATCGTGGCGCCCTTGATCGGGCCGAGGATCTCAAGCCAGCGCTCCAGTCGGCGCTGGACGCCGGTGAGGACGCATTGAGGGCTGTCCGCGCTCAGCTTGTGGGCTTTCGTGGAGAGCTCAACGTGGCCGGCGCCCATGCTGCACTCGACTCGCTCATGGCCGAGCGGAGGTATCGTCGCGATTGCGTGGCTTGTGCCGCACTTCAGGCGCAGGGCAAGGCGCTGCGGAGGTCAACAGCCGCCCACGTCGAGTCGCCGGTTAAGCGCCGGCTGCGGGCGCACGCCGAGACGCTCAACTCGATCCTGCCGCAGTGGTATGATGCCCGCGGCGCCATCAACGCGGCCGCTGTGCCGGAGCACAACCATGCCGTTGACATCCCTGCCACCCACGAGAGCTACCACGAGAGCCGTGGCAACGAGCCTTCCGAGTATGCCGAGTACGCTGGCTACGCCGAGTACGCCACCAATCGGGGCAACGAGCGCGATGGCAGCGGCCATGAGATGGGCCAGGCGCAGTGGCGCGAGACGCTCGCCGAGGACGTGGCGCAGCGGCGGCGAGCATCGCCTGCGGCCACGCCTGTGCCGTCGCCGCAGGCACCACAGCCAGTCGCCGCGCCGCGACATCCCGAGGCCGAGCCAGAAGCAGCGAGCAGTGGATCGCCGCTGCGCGGTCCGTCGCTCTCGGACACGATTGCAGCGTTGAGTGCGCTGCGTGAGCGCAATCGCAAGCTGCAGCCAGTCAACGATGCAACAGCAGCACCGGAGCCTCGGCCGCGAGCACCATCGACGCCTGGGCCATCTGAGGCCCGGCCTGGTCCGGCTCTGGGCACCGCCCCTCTCTCGCTCGACGAGGCAGTGGCGCGGTCATTGCAGCGGCAGGAGGCAGTGGCGGCGGCCAAGGCGCACGAGGCTGCACGCGAGGCTGAGCTTAACCAGCTCCGTGAGATGCGGAGCTTCCGCGAGCGGCATCCATCGCTGTTTGGACAGCCTGCATCGCCGTCGCGGCCGGGCCTATACACCGTCGACGGCCTGTACCGGGCGGTGCGGTATGTGCCTGATGAGCACTTTGACGCCTACGACAACGTGTACGGGCGGCTGCCGGACGACTCGTGGCGCGACTCGTACATCCGGGTCTCGATTCCGGTGGCGTCGACGCTGGTCCCGGCATCGATCCGTGCACGCGGCAAGCCATCGCGCGAAGCCGCCGTTGCCAATCTCTATCCGGACATTGCGCTCTCGCGCCAGGTTGTGCCCGAGTCGGTGGCCGGTTATTCGGGACCGGTCCGCGCAACTGCCGCCGGCGTCCGCGACTCGCTCTCGCTCGAGGAGCTGGCACTTCTCGAGATGCGGTCGGCAACCGACGACGAGGTCCGGTCCAACTTTTCGCGTCGGCTCCTCTCGCGCGAGATCCGCATGCGTCATCAGCTTCAGCGGCTCCATGCTACTCGCCATGTCAAGATCGCCGGTCTTCGTCCGCATGAGGATCCCTACCCCAATTGAACGCCTTTACCGCCCACGGCACATGGCACACGGCACACGGCACACAGCACACAGCACACGGTACACAGTAGCATCAATGTGGTGACCATCATCAGCATCGTCATACTGTACCATCCCACCACACTTTACCCGTATCCACAAATACCTACCATCACATCGCTCCACCATCACATTGCGCCGCCATGTCGCAGTCTCGGCAGCATGGATACCGACAGCCGCCCCCCCGCCCCCCCGCCCCCCCCCCCCTTGCCCCAACCCCGACACGCCACGCGGCGACACGCCACGACACACCACCGTCTACCACCCCCTCCCAACCTCACAGGCGCCATGCCCCGACACAAAGGACACGAGCGTGGCGGTGGAAGCCATGGCGGACGGGGCAAGGGCGGGGCGCAGCTGTCGTTCTCGGCCTTCTCCGCGAAAGGCTTCTCGCCGCAGACGGCTGCCGAGGGAGTGCTGGCGGAGGCGACGGCGGACGATGTGGCGAACAGCATGCTGCCGGCGCTGGAGCGGATGACCAAGCACGCGTCGACTTCGCTGGTGGGCAATCTCTACGACAACCACTCGACCTTTATCGGCATCTCGCTGCACATCGAGGAGCTCCGGACTGCCTCGGCTACTCTCCGCTCGTCGCTCTCGGGCTTCTCCCACGCCCTCGATGACGTCGCCGCCTCCTTTCCCGACCTCGCTGAGCCGCACGATGCTGCTGCTGCTGCGCTGCGCCGTCATGATGCCCGTGGTGCAGCTGCAGGGCTTTTGCCCGAGCTTGCTGCCCTCCTTGCTCTTCCGGACGAGCTGGAGGCTCTGCTTGCTGAGCGCCGCCTGGCCGATGCGGTGGAGAAAGTTCTCGCAGCCCGCGCTCCACCGGCAGCCGCGTCGCCGGTGTATCCCTACATCAAGGATCGAATTGATGCTGTGGCTGTCCAGCTTGTCGCCGCGCTCGTTGACGACGCCTCGCCCGACGCAGTCCCGCTTCTTGTCCGGCTCGGCGAGATCGCCCGCGCTCAGCGGGTCCTCCTCGCGGCCGCCGACGCCGAGCTAGCCGCCGCACTTGCCTGCATTCGCTTTAGCGGCAATCTCGTCGGCTACGTCCGCGCTTTGGCTGGCGAGGTCTTTGGCGCTGTTGCGCGGACCGCCGAGCGCTACCATGCTGCCTTCACTCATCCGCATGCTGCGTCGGCCCTCCTTGCCTGGGCCACGCACCAGGTGACGGACTTTGCAGCCTCGTTTGAGCGGCTTGTTTTCTCGGCCTCCGAGTATGCAGTCATCGCCCAGTGTATGGAGGTGGCTCTGGATGCAGCGCGGGCCGATGCCGACTGCGGCCTCTCGCTCGAGTTTTTCCTCCACTCGGCGCTTGGCAAGGCGCTTGAGACGTTGGTCGAGGCGGTGTTGGACAAGGCTAAGCCGGTGCTTGACGCGTATGTTGCGTCCGAGAAGTGGAACTCTCGCGAGATGCGCGTCATGGAGGGCGAGAGCTCGACCGTAGTCAAGCTCTCCGAGTCGGCCAAGTACGTCTACCTCTGCCTTTCGAAGTTTGTCTCGGACGTCTCTGCTGTTGTCCGACCCTCGCTCTGCGGCTGCGTCGTCGGCTCGATCGTCTCGTTTGTTGAGAGCTATGTGGCTACGCTCGCCCGCGCGCTGTCGAGCCCCGAGGCTTCAGGCTCTGCCCGCTGGGCGACCGACAAGCAGGCGTTTGTTATGATGGGCAACGTTGCGTCGCTCGGCTTTGAGCTTGTGCCCAAGCTCACCTCGCGGCTGGCAGCACTATTTGGAGCGGATCGTGTCAGCCTCCTCCTCGCCCTGGCGACTCGTCTCCAAGCTGCGGTCGACGAGCTCGTCGACGCCTTTGCCGCCGTCCGGGCCTCCTTCCTCCTCTCGTCCAAGCTAGGGTGGGCATCGGACGTCGCCGCCTACACCACCTCGACGGTCTCGCACGCCGACGCCGAGCCGAGCCGCGCGATGAGCCAGCTCTTTGTTTACCTAGCCAAGATGGGACTTGCCCTCGAGGCCCATCTCGACGGCGTTTTGCCAACAAGCTCATTCGCGGCCTGTGCATGGGCATGGCAGAGGAGATGGCCTCGAGCATGGAGTTTGCCACCGGCCCGCGAACCTTTGGTTTTGGCGGCCTTCAGCAGTTTGTTCTCGATCTGCGTTTCTTTGCTGCCGCCGTCGCGCTTCGCGAGCCCGAGGTTGCCGACCGCGTAGCCGGCCATGTCGAGGCTGCGGTCTCCGCCGCTGTTGCTTCCTACGCGGCGTCGTCAGGCAACGACCCGTCGGACGTTCTCAAGTCGACATCGTGGTTTAACGATCGGGTCGGTGCCGGGCTTGACGGCCTTCGCCGCCATGGCTGGGTCCGCTAGACACGGGCAAGAGAAGCTGCTCATGGAGCACCTAGCTGGTCAGCGCACGCTTGGCCCGCGATAGCATGTCGATCCGCAGCGGGTGCTCGCCATCATCCAGCGGCTCGTTGTCGGCTCGCCGCACAGCCCTGAACGCGGCCTCCAGACACGCGTCAACGACATCGAGCTTGAGTTTGAGCTTGTCGGCGACAGCGGCAAAGACTCCAGCTGCGGCGAGGAGCTCGGACTCGGACAGCTTGTGTTGGATGGAAGCGAGCGGCTGCTGCAGACTTTCAAGGACGGCGTCGGCCAAGAGCGGAAGCGCCGTCTTGATTGCGGTCTGGTACATAAGCTTGTCGGCAATGGCCTGGATAAAGGTGGCAGCTTCACGAGGCCGGCAGGACTTTGCAAGGATGCGGAGCCAGAGCTTGACGTAGGCGACCTTGGTAAGGGCGTGTACATGTGCGCGCTTCCCGTTGACTTCCTCGCCCATGGTGTGCATCCAGATCTTGAGCCGCCCGGTCTGCTTCGAGTTGACTATGACCTTAAACTCTTCGTAGGCGACGTCGTGCTGGCCTGCGGCCAGAGCAGCCTTGGCCACCACGTATGCCCCGCGGTGATAGTACTTGTCGAGCACAGCATGGCCACGGATGCCCGAGAGCGCCGCCAGCGCGTTTGCGCGGACGTCGCGCGGCTCGACGCCGCCCGTGGGAGCGGCGGTCCACAGCTCACCGCCGCGCTGGATGGCCTCGCGGTCATACCAGACGTTGGTGAAGAGGTCGAGCTCGCCAAAGAGAGCCAGCCTGAGGGCATGGACACCAAAGAAGGCGTCGGCCACGGCGGTACGGAACTTGCGGTCGCGGAGCGGGACAATGGCCAGCGCGTCCTGGAAGGCCTGCAAACCGTCGCGGGCCCATCCACGGACTTTGGTCCGAGGCGCGCCTAGCTCGCGTGCGTGCTCGACGAGGAGCCGGCGAATTTCACCGATGCGGACGAGGGCAAGCCATCTGATGCGGACGGCACTTGACCCAGAGTCGGGCTGCATTTTCAGTGCCTTTCGGTACGCGGCCAGCGCGCGCTTGGCAAGGAGCCGCGCGCGCTTGAGGGCGCGCCTGCTCGGCTTTGTGCCTGCCAGCTGCCGCATATGGGTCTCCAGCTCAGCAAAGTGCAGACGGCCAGCGTCGATGCACAGGCGGGCGTCGTCGGCAGCGGACCACGTCACAACCTTGGGAGCGTCAGCGGCTTTGGTGAATGCAGCCTGGCCGCGCCGATAGGCGTCTGCGGCGGCGACGGCGTGGACAGCCTTGTCCTGGGTGACCACGAGCGAGTGAGCCACCGAGTAGATCATGTTGAATGCCTCGGCCGAGACGGTCAAGGCGCGGAGGCGGAGGTCCGGCAGCAGCTGTTTTGACGAGCCGAGCATGTCTGCGGCCAACATGCCGCGCTCCGCAAACTGGGCGACGTCGAGCAGCTCCTGGATGTTCTCGCCGAGGCCGTCGTCGTCCATGTCGCCGCAGTCAACTTGGCGCAGTTCAGCCTTGACAACCCGCAGCTGCGAGCGCGCGGCTAGGACCGGCAACTCTGTGGCGAGGAGCGGGTAGCTCGCCGGCTCGAATTGTGTGGGCGAGTCGGGTGCGGCAGCGGCGTCCTGCATCTTGACCAAGGTCTCGTAGAGGAGGAGCACGTCGTAGTTGAGCTCAGTAGCAGCCTCGCCGCGGAGGACTGCGCCGGCATCCTTGACGTCGGCATGGATGGCGTGGAAGAGGAGGTTGATATCGGCGAGCGTGGCGAGCGGCAGCGGCGAGCACGAGTCGTGGGCATGCTCTTTGCCGTAGGTCGAGTCGAGCAAGTCTTCCTTAAAGAGACAGAAGAGCGTGTCGGCCAGCTCGTTTCCCAGACGCTCGTCGGACCATTCGCTGGCGAGCTCGTCATCGCTGGCGTCGCCGCTCTCGTCGCGGTCTGCGGCGAGCTGCCTTTGCTCACGGATGGCCATGATCTGCTCGACGTGGAGTCTGAGGAGGCGAGCCGAGTCAATCTGGCACTCGTTGTGACTGCGGAGGAAGAGGCGTCCGACTTGGAGAACGGTGAGCCGTGCGCCCGAGAGAGCAGCCTCGTCGTTGGCCTGGCCGTAGCCCGAGCACAGAGCGTGGAGGACAAGGAAGGGGACATCGGCCGAGACAGGGAGCTTGTCGGTGGCCATCATGAGGGCTAGGGCGGTGAGGACGAGCTGGGCGAGGTCTGACGCGAGCTGGCCGTCGTCGACGCCGAGGCGGACAGCCAGGGCCAGACTCTCTGGTGGCGGGACGGGGGCGCCTTCACCCTCGAGGAGAACGAGGATGTTGGAACAGAGCTCCTCGACCGAAGCGGCTGCCAGCGGCGACGCGGCCTTGGCGAGCGATATGAGAATGCGGAGCGCTTGCAGTGCGGTCCAGAGGGCCACGCTGACGTAGCGGAGCCGAACAGCGGCGATGTGCATGAGGTGGAAGACGTGCAGCTGCTCCTCGGCAGACACATACTCAAACTGCTCCGCAAGGAGTCGTGTGTTCTCGTCAAGGACAGAGGCGTTTCGCACAACGTCGGCGAGCGAGGCGAGGACTTCGTGGACGTCCTTGGGATCGGCCTTTGGATCCGCCAGCAGCTTTTCCATGCGGTTGACGGTCCGCGAGAGAGCGATGCCGACCAGGCGCGAGCGGATGCCGTCATCGGAGATGACGCCGACGCGCGAGCAGTTTGGAAGCATGATGTCGACGCCGGCAGAGGCTCGCGCCTCACGGGCACGACCGTACTGCGGCAGGGCCAGCGGGCATGAGCCGACGACGGTCTCCAGGTAGCGGGCCCAGAGCCAGGCGTACCTAGCCTCGCGCACAGCGAGGATGCGGGTTGAGCGATCGGCGCGGGCACCAGCGCCGCGACCGACAAGGCCCTGCAGCTTTGTGAGAAAGTCAATCATGCGGACTTTGGCAAGGCGGAGCGCGTCGGCGGAGGAACCGTCGTCGACGGCGATTTCCGCGAGGGTGAGGACGACTTCGACCGGGGCCGGCTCGCCGTAGGCCTCGAGGGCGGCTTCGAGGTCAAAGATGGCGGATGCCAGCGGCGGCTCCCACACATGGTCCCACAGCTCGCCGGCTACATGAGCGAGGACAGCCCGACCGGCGTGAACGAGCGAGAGGGAGCCGCAGAGCTTGCGCTCCACAAAGGCGGCGAGCGAGAGGTCGTTGATGTGGGCGTAAGCCTCGGCTCGGACCGGTGGCGGCGACGAGCCGGACGAGCCGCGGAGGAGGACTGGCTCGTGGGCGTGCGACAAGTCGTCGACCGGCTGCGCGTCACCCGAAACCAGGGCGTCGGCCAACGACAACGGCTTGCCGATGTTGAGGACTTCGGAGAGCGCTTGTGAGACAACCTCAAAGGCTGCGCGGGTGTCAAAGCCCTGCGGCTCGTCGGAGTCCTTGCCGGGCTTTGCGAGAGGCGGCGAGGGCTCGGGCTCGGGCTTTGCGCGCGGCTGCTTGCCAGGCATGGAGACTGGAGGCGGCGAGGGCGAGCGCTCCGGGGAAGGAGGCGGGTCGAGGATGGTTCCGGCCGGACCCTCGGGATTGTCGAGCGGAACGAGAACAAAGCGGACCCGCGGGACTGCGCACTCCCCGGCCTCAGTGGCCGTGAGCGATGCACGAAGCTGGTGAACGAGGGCAAGGACGAGGTCAAACCACGGATGGGTAGCGTTGGGCGCGACAACGATGTCGCGGACGGGGTGGCGGGGTGGCGGCGGCGGCGAACTTGGGCGGGCGCGCTTGCTTCCGGGCGGCGGCGATGAAGGTGTGCCGAGGGCAGCAGCGTGGCGGTCGACGGCAGCAAGGGCAGGCAGGTCTTCGAGCAGGGCCAGAGCACTAGCCAAGCCGCGGACGGCCTTGCGGTCGTAGGGGTCTGCCTCGAGGGTGTGTTCGTAGGCGTAGCGTGCGAGGCCCGGATTGCTGGCCGCGGTGGCGAGGTCACCGAGGAGGCGCCAGAGCAGGCCGTCGGAGTCGTCAAGGCCAAGGGCAGCGACGGCGTGGTCGACGCCTGCTGAGATCAGGCGCGGGTCGTCGGGGGCGAGGGCGGCGAGGACGGCGGCGAGGTTCTTGGAGGCGAGGAACTTGAGCAAGGCGGCGGGGACAGCCCGCAGCGGCTTTCCCGGGATCATGCGGGCATCGGCAACGACAGGTTCGGCCAGGACAGCCTCGTACAGCTCGCGTGCTGTGGCCAGCTTGCCGCCGGCGTGAGTCGCCAGTGCCTCTTCGTATGCCCGAATGGCGGCGGCCTCCTGTGGTGTAGAATCGAGTGAGTGAGGGGGGGGGGAGGAGGGGAGGGAGGGGATGGGGTGTGTGGGAAGGGGGCGTACGCGGGCCTCACGGGTCTGGCCAGAGCGGGTGGGCGGCGGGGGTGGGGATGCGGGTCCACCAAGGGCCGCCCAGGATGCCATGTGCAGGGTGGGGAGGGGAGGGGTGTCGGTGGCTGCGGGCGGTGGTGGTGTTTGTCGAGTCGTCGATGCCTGGTTCTCACTTTCAGCCGAGTTCTGCTGAGGACTCCAGAGCACCCAACGCCCTGTCTCGTTGCCGAGTCGTCATTGACGATGATGGCGCCCATTGGCAGAAACAACATCCGATGTTGAGTGATTATGATCATCACTCTCGATGCCATTGGTGTGCTCCTTCAGGCGGCTACGGATAGTTTGCTGTGGTTTTACGCTCTCACTCAAACACAGCGTCGAGCATCGGTCACAGACACGGTCGCGGTACCTGACGGGTCTCTGTTGGGCCTCGGCAGGTGGTACGTCTGTACGGCCTTGCTGAGCGCGCCACACACCCCATACTGACAGGAGAGCAAGGGATAGTTACATCACCGCGTGACGCCACATATCATGCGTGCTATGATAGTGTACGCGCATGTATCTAACGATCTCCCTCTGAGAGCGCTCTTTTCGCGGTCCCGGGCAGATCACCAGGGCGGCTTGCACGGTTTTGGACACCTGGTTCTCGCAATAGACTTGGTAGAGGTGTACCTACGGCATAGCTGTACCTCGTATTACAGAAGCTCCCTTAAAGGTGGAGGGGTGGGGGTGGGGGAAGTGGCGCATGATGCCTGTAATGTGTCTCATCTAAAACGTTATATAAAAACATTGTTGTAAAATTATGAATATATCAATTACAGTAAGAGATTTCAAATCATTACTTGTTTTGCAGTGTCAAATATATAAAATGTATATTTTGTCTCGTTTTGGGTCTGTTTCTCATGATTTTTGCCGCCACTGCTGGTGAAGGCTCACCCGGCGGGCTGGAGAACCTCTCCTCCCCTTCCGCCCTTCGTCCTCCCCCCCCCCTTTCAAGCCAGCACTAGCAGCTAGGTGTAGTCAACCACCCCTCTCTCCTTCACCCCTCCCCCCTCCCCTTCCTCGCTATGGCTGCAGACCGTCGCCACCTCTTTGTGGGTATGTTGTACCCGTCTGTCCCCTTACCCCCCTGCTCCCGCTCACACTCACCCATCACACGCACAGCTGGCCTCGCTGACGAGGTTGATGAAGAGGTGCTCCGCGCTGCGTTTATCCCGTTCGGACCTGTGCTCTCTGTGGAGCTCCCCGACGATGCGGCGACGCAGAAGCATCGTGGCTTTGGCTTTGTTCAGTTTGAGGACGCCGAGGACGCGGCCGAGGCCATCGACAACATGCACATGGCCGAGCTGTTCGGCTCGGTGCTCAAGGTGAACGTGGCCAAGCCCGATCGGAGCCGCGGCAAGGGCGGATCGGGCGCAGTTTGGGAGAGTCAGGCCTACGTCCAGTCGTATCTGCTCAACCCGGATGCCAAGCCAGCCGAGCTTGAGGCTGCGAATGCGGCGCCCAGCACGGAATGATGGAGAGGGAGAAGCCCGTAAAGTAGGTGTGTTGGATGCCGAGCTCCTTGCCAGATAGCAACTGGGGCAAGTCGACGGAGAGCGTGCGCGACGACGGGATGACGAGCCTCCAGTAAGACGCGGTCGAGCCAGAGCAGGGAGCGTGAGCACGAGGGTGATGAGCGCAGAGACACGCCGGGGACAATGCCAGCGAGGCTGTCGGCGATGCACGTATGGAGCTAGCGCGTTCGACGCGCACCCGCGACCCTTAAAGCCGAGCTCCGGCCATGCGCGACCACGAGCCCTGGCCCGGGCGACGACGGGAATAGAACAGCGCAGTCGTTGTCGGGATCACGTACTGCTCGGCGCCAGTCGTGTTCCGCACTCGACACAGAACTTTGTTGAGCCTGAGCTCAGGGCCTGATTGCAGCCAGGACAGGTAGACGACGATGTCTTGGTTCGCGGTGATGACCCTCGCTCCCGCGAACCATGGGACCGTGAGCCTCGAGCGCGAGCGCGAGTCCGGGCCTGAGCGCGAGGGCGAGCCGGTACCCGACCACGCCCGCGGCCGCGCACGGCCGATGACGATGACGGTGGCGGGCGGTTCCGCAGCACGCCCTTGCGACGAAGAGCGGCGGCAAGAACTGCGCGGTCTTCGTCCGGCAGGGTAGGGTCGTCCAGCAGCGACAGCGCCACAGCGTCCTTGTCGGTGACCGAGTCGATGTCGTACGGGTTCATCTCGGCCAGGTCGAGCATGGACTCGACGAGGGCAGGTGTGTTCATGCTAATGACGCCGGCACCGCCGGTACCGCGGCGAAAGTTGGGGTTCCGCTCACGGAAGCGCTTCTCGTAGAAGGCCATCTCGTCCTCCTCGCTCATCTTGGCGCGGCGCTCGCGCCGCTGCCTTGGGTTTCGCGACATGTCCCCGCTGAGGCTGGAGAGGTGTGGCGATGGGGTTGCGAAATGAGCGAACGAAGAACGTTTAGCGTTGGGTGGGGGCGTCCACGGCGTCGACACACCCGCACCGGCCCGACCCCTCGCATTGGCCATACCCCACATCACACACATGGTTACTTAGTGTAGTCTGTTCTATGCAGTCGTTAGCAATGTGGTGGACCGATCTGTCTGGCAGGACTGGCCCGGCCTGCAAGTCGTGAGTGACGCGATTACGGCCAAGTGCGGCCGGGGCAGAGTGCTCGGGCAAGACGGGCCGAGACGGCATACCGGAGGCGGTGGTGACATGGATCGTGAACAGCTTGTACCCGGGTTATAGTTGTAGCATGCGCTCCATCGATGAGAAGAATGGACGGGTACTGGTTGGGTCAGCAGATCAAAGGCGTGACACGAGGCCGGAGTCGGCTGTGAGCTGTTTGTTCAAGGGAGTACTTTGCAGGATCAGCCACAGCGGCGGTCTTCCGTGGTGGTGCCATCGCGGTGCTCGACCTGGTAGGCGTCGCGGAAACGAAAGAGGTCGGTGGCTTCGGCGGCTTCGGCGGCTTCAGGGACCTGGTGGTCGATGGATGACGAGGAGTCGGAGTCGTACGAGTACAGGCGGTCGATGACCGAGTCGTGGTGAGAGAACTCGACAGTGGAAGGAGGCGGGTCAGGGGTGGCATGCTCGGCGCCGGCGCCGCTCAACAGCGGGCGGTAGCCGACGGGTCTGCGGATGGCGCGGCGTCTGCGGGCCTCGGCGGCGCGCCAGCGTCGGCGACGGGCGCGGGCCTCGGGGGTCAGCTTGCCAACCGGGGTCCTGCTTGGGTTGGTGACGGCTTTGGCACGGAGTTTGGCCTGTTCGCGAGCTTTGGAGTAGCGGTGGAGGAACTGAGCGGCGCCCGAGACGCGCATGATGTCTGGCCCGGCAGAAGCATGGATGGCGGGCGGGACGATGCGGTTGATGGCGGGCCGAAAGGTGCAGAGGTCAGCGTCGGCCTTGGCGGCGTCGTTCAGCGCCTTACGGCGGCGCTGGATGCGGGCGTCCTCCTTGGCGGCGGCCCATGCACGACTCCGCTCAAGAAAGTCGCGATGGTCGTCGTCGGCCTTGCGGCGGTTTGTCTGCGGAGTGGCGCGGCGGGCGGCCTCACGGGCGTCGCGCTTGACGGTGGCCTCGAGGGCGGCGCGACGGTCGGCCCACTCTTGGCCGAGCTGATACATGAGGGTTGTCCGAGCAGCGCCGCGGTACTTGTCTTTTCCGGCCAGGGCGTCGGCGTCGGCGGCAATGTCCTGCGACCTCGGGTTGATCTCTGGCGAGAACGAGCAGTTGTTCAACGTGGCGTGGGCGAGGGCGTCGCGGACGGCGGCGTTGGCCCTTGAGCGCGGCGGAGACTGGCGGCGCTCGGCGGCCAGGACGGCGGACATGTCGGAGATCTTCGGCTGGAAGGTGTTGTTTGCCTCCAACTCCTCGACGGCCGAAGTCAGCTGGGGGACGTGGTACTTGGACGCGTAGTACTTGGCGGCCAGAATGGGATGGTCTGCATCGAGATGAGCCTTGGCGGCGGCGGACGAGGAGTATTGCTTGCCCAAAGCGGCCAGCTCGTCCGCCAGCGGTCCATCGACAGCCACCGCCTGTGGTGGGATTGGGCGGCAGGAAGAGAGTGCGGTTGCCACCTTTGCCGCTAGCACGTCGACCTCGGGGCTGGCACGCTCTTCCTCGGGCCTGGGTTGGGTCCGGGCAGCCTTTGGTCGGCGCCGGCGGTGTCGGCGCCGCTGCGCCCGCGGCGGTTTCTGGCCGCTCCCAGCGTCATTGGCGCCGGTCATGGGTGCAGTGGCACTATTCAGCCCCGACGTATGTGCTCTCACGTCAAGTGTGTGTGTATGTGTTGGGAGGGTGGGGGTGGGGGGGGGGGGGGGAGTGATCGATGGCAACCGTTGGTGGGTGGCACGGCGCAGGGCAATGCGGCGCCCGGGCGGGGGGGGGGGGGGA